TTAATGCGGTATGCAACCGGGAGCCAATGGAGAACGTACAAGATTGGGGTTATTTGAGCAGAACGTTTGGTATGAGTGAGTATTCTAGCTGCAGAGTTTTGAATAAACTGTAATCTGGAGATGAGGCTCCAGAGAAAGCTCGAAACAGCTTGTTTCTGGTTTTATTATTGAAGCACGCGGAGAGAAAATGTACCCCCACAGTTTTTTTATGTTAACCACAAGATATCATTTTAGAATGCGGGAAAGTGAATGTTTCAAGGATGGATGACAACAAACGTTCTTGCATGTCTTTGTTTGGCACATCTTCATTGTCATTCAGCCTGACAGCTGAGGTCTTTCAGTGTGACATGGGAGTCATGTTTGTGTAGTCTGACATGCTACAATCATTTAGAATTATTATTAATAAACCCACAGAGTGCGGCAGGCTTTACACAGATTGTGACTGTTAGATTCAACTTGAGAGCTCCCTCATTCTCCATATAGACATAAACGACACATTCAAAGTTCAGAAAAGGAACCAAAAACATTGTTAAACAGATCATGTGAGTTCAACTGTAATCATACAGTTTCAAGAACACAAAACATTTGTTAATATGACTCTGTCCGTCTATATAGATTCACCCACGTCAGGTCATGAGAATGGTCATACTACCAGCAGAAAACTTTTTTCCATGTGTCAGCAGCGCAAAACATAAACAACAGTTTACACGCACCCTGTTCCAATTTGTAAGACATTGCCGACCAAGGCTGTACTCACACTATGTACAGTTGCCTCGAACTGGGCCAAAGCACGTTTGTCCCCCTCCCGTCTTCCCCGACGGCCCACACTCGCACTACAATCGGGCCTGGGCACGCTTACGTCATCGATGTTGTGATGGTCAGTGAGCGCTCTCGCTCAATACAGTGGAGATTGCTCTAGTTATATAGTTTCAGTCGTTTGATATGCAGTGACATGCAGTCAAATATTTCGCCAAACAGTCCTTAGGGAAGCGTTGACACGCAGTCAGATATTTCGCAGAACAGATTCGCCACTTTTGGCGTTTATAAACAATCATAAAGCCCTCGTGGAGCAGGAATTAGGAGGTTTGCTGAAGGTGCGCAGCTGTCGTGCAGTGGGGAGTTTGCGTCTTTAATAAACTACGGCAGTTTGCGTTCACTGAACAGTAAGAATGATTAATAAATCATATGAAACAGTCCCTTAAAAGTCACGTCTCGCTTTCAGTTTCGGGCTTTGGCGCGTTTTGCACTCACACACAAGCCAAAGCCCAAGTGAACCGCGCTTAGGCCCACCTCTTCCAACCGGGCCAGGGCCAGCCAAGTGAACCGTGCTTGAGCCCGATTCAGCGCACTCACACTTCTTAAACGACCTGGGAAACGGGCCTGGGCACGGTACGGATGGCATAGTGTTGGTAGGCCCTAAAGTTGTTTTGGTGCACAAATGTGTTCTTGGAGCTTCAGATAATCACAGTTAAACCACTGAAGTTTTTGACAATAGCCCTTTTCACACATACAGACCTTTCCGGAAAGGTCTGTATGTGTGAATAGGCCCTTTTTGAAAATACTGGTAAACTCGTTCTGGCTATTTTCCGGAAAGAAAAGTTTGTAATATTACTGGTAATTTGCCGGAATGCTGCGCTGTGTGAACGCAGTAGGAAGATTGCCGGAAAGAGCCCGTTCACGTCTAGAACATGCAGACGCATTCACGTCCGCGCGGTTTATAAGAATAAAAGCCTTTGAATATTTTCCCAGACACATTTACCTGCTAGAAGTTAGTCAGATAATGATTATATGTTCATCTTAATGCCAACTGTCGAAATAATTATCGATAAGATGCTTATGATAAGCCGTTGTTTGTTTACCTTCAAGCTTTGCGTGGCCCATTAAACAACCCTGTAAGCGCCTGCACACACACATATTATGTACATCTCGACATGCGTTTTCATCTAAGTTGTTCACAATACTCATCCATCCAGAGAGTTTGTAATGTGGTCAAATGTTTACAAATACAAGCGCAGCTGTTTAGAGATCATTTCTGGTTAATGATGTCAGAATTTACCGGTATTTTGGAATGGATGTGTGTGAACAGTCTTTTCCGGAAAAACTCCATAACGTCCTCGCCTGTGAACAGCGCTTTTTTGAATTTACCGGTAAAGTCGTTCCGGAAATTTTCCAGATATTTACTGGTATCACTGTGTGAAAGGGGCTAATGTCTTTAGTTCCCTTTCTTGAACGTCTAGTGACTGCTGCTGTCTGTGGAAGATGAGAGAGCTCTCTGAGAGGGTTTCAGGGGATTAGAGCAACATGAGGGCGAGTAATGAATGGCAGAATTTTTATTTTGTCCTTACACTGAGTGCTCATTTAAAATGCTGTGTGTGATTACCTGCATGACCCGTTATTTTGTTGTTGTTTGTTTTTGCTTTGTGGTGGTTGTTCATGAGTTACTTGTTTCTTCTGAACAAATAAACTGCTCCTGATCTTTAGAAAACTCCATTTCCTGCAGGTTCTTCAGGCATCTTTTGCATATCTGAACCCTTTTAAATTAACTTGAGATCCAACTTTTCACACTGAAGACATTTGAGGTACTATTAAAACTTTTTTAAAAGGTTTGAAATGCTCAATGATGCTTCAGAAAGAAAAACAATCAAGGTAAATTGTATTTAATCTGTTATGTTATTTAATTATTTGTTTGAATCTTCTGTTGCTTTCAATAAGCAACATGGACATGAGACCCTTATTTTAAAAAAGAACAATTTGGACATCTTCCACCAGTTAAAAGTTTTCATCTCAGCTATTGATGGACTTTTGTTTCCTTCAGGAGCACCAGAACCTGTTTTTAATAGCTGTGTTTGAGTCCCGCAATCATCCTCATTGTGAAAAGATGGATCTCAAAATCATAGTAACTGCTGGAAAAAATACTAAACAAACCCTGAAGAATCTGCAAAACATGGAGGATTGTTCTTAAGAACAGCAAGTACTTTAACTGTTCAAAATAAACAAACAACCCTCACAAATCAGAAAAACAGTCTTAGATCATCTAGGTCAGGGGTGCTCAATCCTGTTCCTGGAGATCTACCCTCCTGCAGATTTCAGTTGCTACCCATATCAAACACACCTGAACCAATTAATTAGGACCTGAACACCACTTGATAATTACAGGCAGGTGTGTTTGATTTGGGTTAAACTATGAATCTTGGGAAAAAACTCCAGTTGAAATCTTTCATCTGGAGTTTTGCAAAAGCATCCTCGGAGTTCACAGAAGCACACCTAGCCTTGGTTGCAGAGCAGAACTAGGCAGATTCCCTCTGCTCTCAGAAATCCAGAAGAGAGCAGGGAAGTTCTGGCTCCATCTGTCAGACTCCAGCCCAGAGAGCTACCATTAGCAAGCCCTCATAAAAACACCAACTAAATTCACAAACCCTGTCCCAACATATAAAGACTAAAGAAATAGAAAAGATTACCCAGGAGGATTATAAAGTCAATTGGCAAAATAAAGTACAACAAATAAAAAAGTTAGCGTGCTTCAACCAAATTAAACCTGGTTATAAACTGGCCCCGTATCTGACCAACATTAAGAGCCCTGGTCAGAGAAAGCTGATGAGCCGGTACCGTCTGAGTGGACACAGTCTGAGTGTGGAGACGGGGCGACACAAGCGCAGCTGGAGGAGCCCAGAGCTCAGACTGTGTCCACACTGCTCTGCTGGAGTTGTGGAGGATGAGCTGCATTTCTTCACTCACTGCAGCAAATATCAGAGCATCAGAGAAGCTTACGTCACACAAATGTCTCTGATTCTACCACAATTCCAGCACGCCACAAATACGGAGAAACTCCATTATATTTTGGGAGAAAATGAAAAGTGTCTCCACCTAGCAGCACAGTACGTGTCCTCATGCCACCATATGAGAGAAAAAGGCTGAACCCCCTTATCCCTTATTAAAGCTCTCTGTCCTTACCATTTATTATTATATACTTTTGTTAATCTTTTTTTTTTTTTTTTTTTTTTTACTTGTTCATTGGGACAACATATATGTATAATATAACGATATGTATATGTGTTTGTTTATTATTACTTATATTTCTTTTATCTATATGAATGTTCTGTATTTTGTTATTGCTTTGGCAACATTGTGATTTGTTTTACAGTCATACCAATAAAGCTCTTTGAATTTGAATTTTAGAGAGAGAGAGAGAGAGAGAGAGAGAGAGAGAGAGAGAGAGAGAGAGAAAGAAAGAGAGAAATTTGCACTCGTTTTGCACGCATGTGACATGATACAGGTTAATCTCCACTGCTGTATGGATCTGTTAATGTACAAAATAAGCCCGATTTAACGTCCACAAACCAAGATTGAAGCGTCTTTTTTTTTATAATTGTTCTGACATGCGGCTGTGCTGATGAAGTGAATCGCTGTATCTCATTACACACATGCACTGTTTTAAAACATTTTAAACATGTGAAACTCACTCTTGATCACATCTGATGATGATTAAATATCCTAGTAAACTGAACAGACCTTTTATTCCCGGTTGCTTTGCGCACGTCCTGTCTTGTTGATATGATTATATGCGTTACTACAGAGACATGTTAATGCGTGCAGCTGTCAATCAATATCGGTGGGTGGGGGGACCGCACTCCTACGTCAAGTTGCGGTCGATCTGAAAACCGCTCCAATTGGTCCACCGTTTTTATGTTGTTAAATTTGAAAAAAAAAAGAGAACTGGGTGTGTTTATTTCACCCCAATATTACAGTATATACACTATACTTACACACGTCTGTCCGAACAGCTTTAAAAGTAGATTTTTCACCATAGGTGCCCTTTAAGAAATCATAACAAGCTCAGATTTCCAACATTATTTTCAGTTTTTTTGTTGTGTTCTGAAAACTTACAACAAACCGAGAAAGAGTAATCATTTTAAGTCAAAGTAATTGAAAATCCCACAAATGACTTTTAAAACACCCAGTAATGCAAGTGAAGAGACAGTAATGCAAGTGAAGCATTCAATGCGTTGAGTCAGAAGACATTCCAAATCAGAACGTTTATTTTTCTGTCATCCTTGATATTTCTTATGTTATTTGTGGACACAGTCTGAACACAGACTGAATCGTCACATCAATACGACAAATTCGGTTCATTCACAAACAACCCCAAGGATGCCGAGACAACCAAAAATAAAAGCATGAGCCCCTGTTCCCACATCGTAAAATCAACTGCCTGAGCAAAGATGACACGTGTTTGGAATCTAGCACGCAAAATACGATAAAACAACAATCATACAGCTAAAACACTTCTCTGTTGTTGAGCGGCCAGCAATAGGTCCTCAGAGCCTGCTGTGGATTACTATGGAAAACAGTGAGGAAAAACATGAGCAGATACAACATTTAAGAAAAAAAGGCCTGGGAATCTGTTGGTCACGTAGAATTGCTCACTACTTAAGTGCAGAAACCAATCAAAACGCAGGGCTTGATGCGTTTCTAAACATCTCTCGCGTGTGATAATGAAATATCAGCATAATGTGTTTCTGTACAAGTGCCTCGAATGTTATTGCTCAAGCTTGCCTAGTTCTCTGCTGAAATATTTGTTCCTCTTCAGTGTAATGCTGAGCAAATATGCACTGTTTGCTCAACAACAAAGCGTTTTCCTTTCAGACTTACAAACACGGATATGAGCACACACTCTTACGTCTAAAAAACCCTATTTCACTGTCGCATGAGTAAAAATGTGTAAATTGATACATGTAGAAGGCATAGCACTGCCGACGAGTGAACAGACGCCTTCCTTTTCAAGGATTTTGGTTTGTTGAAGTTTAGTCGTCTTTCTCCAGAATGTTCTTGACATCTGCAAACACCTGGGGGGAAAAGAAAGCCAAATAGATGTTGAACAGATGTTTTACTGCATTATTATGATTGTTTTACATTATTATTACAATATCGCTGTATTTATTATTAATAATAATAACAATAATTTGCTGATATTTATTATTTATGTTTTTTTGTTTTTGGTTTTTAAAAGCACAACATTATAAATTATTATTATAAAAGAAAATACCATCAATCTTTTTTACTTCAATCTGTATTAGGAAAATGTTAACACTTGATTTATTCTATAAAGATGACATCTCTCTTGTCATTTAAAAATGTTCTTGTCAGAATAATAAATGTTTTGATTTGGTCTGACTGTTCAAGCAAATATTGATGTCAACTCAAGTGATATCTTAACTCTTCTAATAACACAGAGAAACAGTGTAAATTGCTCTTTTTATGCCCCAAAAATAGCTCAAATGCTTTCTTCTGTAAACTATTGAGCATTTGCTCTCAATATGGCTTAGATTTTGACATCGAATAAAATACAAGGAAGAGTTTTATTATGATAATCACTAATAGGAAGATAGGAAACACCCTGCATTTGCTGAATTTGCTCTGTTCTTAAAATACGCAAGGAGGTTAAACACATAGGACACTATATAACTGATGATCTGTCTAATAATACGGACATTTACAGACAGTGTTGTAGGATGTATGTTCAAGCTAATATGCTAATGAGTAAATAGGAGTACACTCTTTAAAGCAAGGTTCAACGCTAAGGATTTTTTCTACTGGCCCAATCGGACCAGTGGTTCAGATTTTTACTTGCCCTGCCAATATTTTCACTGGCCCCACCAAAAAAGTTTATAGCTATTTCTTAGCCACAAATAAAACGAAAACGTGTCAAAATGTTTGTAAATCTAGAATGTAAATATTTAAAAAATGTTAATAAATGTGTAATGAGCAAAATTCGAAGTGTTTTGAAATAAAAGATGGCTAAAGACCGGCCAAACTGACTGCAAACTGTACATAACTTCAATAAAGTCATGGTGTACGCTCGTATATGTCTGCTTCAAAGACGTTAGAAAAAAATGTTTTCCTTTAGCATCATCATTTGATGTTACCGCCATGTTGCTGTCTCTTCGCTGTACTAATAACATGCTCACAACATCCAATCAGATAAGAAGAACCAAGAAGGTAGCATTTGAAGGCTTGAAAGCACAAACTGTTTCTCAATTCTAAAACTGTATTTGCACGCAATTGACATAGTCACAGGCAAATTAAACTTTAGTGACAAGGCAGCAGTGGCCCGATCGGGCCAGTAATGATCCTGTCTACTGTCCCGAGCATCTCACACACTGGCCCCGGGCCATCGGGCAGTCCTTATTGTTGAGCCCTGTAACGCCTTCTGCACCCCTATGTATACTGCCCATTTGTGGGGGTGTCAATCCAAGAGTTCCTGCAGACCTTTTTTTATCATCAAGTGTGATTATAAAAGACACACGCAACTGTTTAAACCCCTTATAAAAGTGATTTAGTCATTATAGGTCACCTTTACAGCACTCATCCGAATTGAAAGCAGCATAACAGCAAGCGTGCTCATCAAGATAATAAAACAATGGAAATTATTCTCTGTATTTCCAGTGAATGTTCTCTGCTTATTTTCACACGCCCTGCTATAAATGCCTCAGGCAAGTGGCCAATCGCAAACCCCGCCTTAGTTAAAAACAGGTTTCGTGAGCAGGAGCACCTCTGTCACCCGACCCCATCTCTAAGGCAAAAAAACAAACAAACAATATGGAGGAAAAGCTTCGAAACCCACATGAAAAACAAACAAAAAATCTGTTAATTTTTTAATAATTGGAGAATCTTTTTTTAAATGCAAAATGTATCTCCAATTATAGAATATCCCCCCATTATAGAATCCCCAAAAGACAGTGCTGCTTAAAAGTTATAGAAGATATATAGAAGTTATAGAAGTTATGCAGATATAGAATGGATAAAGATGTGAATAATTACTAATCAACCAAATGAAGAGATCAGTCCTTCATTCATTCATTCATTCATTCATTTTCTTTTCAGCTTAGTCCCTTTATTAATCTGGGGTCGCCGCAGGGGAATGAACTGCCAATTTATCCAGCATCTGTTTTATGCAGCGGATGCCCTTCCAGCTGCAATCCATCACTGGGAAACATCCATAAACTCTCATTTACACAAATACACTATGGACAATTTAGATTAGCCAATTCATAAAGGGATCATACAAGAGATGGGTCATTATCACTATAAAGTGCCTTTGATGTCCCACAAGATTGAATCAGTCCTATATGAACATAATGCGAAATAATGAAACTCTGATGTTTTAATATAATTGGTTAAATCTTTACACACATGCGGGTAGAATTATAAGCGTTTTAAAATGTGTCAATTTTCGCATATTCTTTCATTGAATGGATGTGATTTTGCCATGTCCCACACACTGCTCTGCCAACTTCAGCAAGTCTATAAAGCAGGTAAATTAGATCAAATTTAAATGATTTTTAAATATATTCGACAATATATTAACAAGTAATTTGACAAAATAAGTCATTTTGATAACTTTTATTTTGTTTTTATAATATTATTAATCATTTTGCACGTGTCCTTAAAATTGCTGTCCACCCTGTCATGATGTGGTAAATGCCCTTTTAAGAAACCCTCTAATGTACTCATTGGCATCCCCATGCCTGTTTTGCCTTTCTTCAGAGGAGGTTAAAACATCTGCTGTTTCTATATTTATGTTTCCTATTTTTCCTCATATTGTGTTTGAAACTGAATGTTGTCAAGCTTAACATGTCCACCCTGTCATAGTGAAATATTTATTAATTTGAAAAATTATCTATATTATTAAATCTGAAATTAAAAATATAGCTTTCAAACTGTGTACAAAGAGCTTAAACTAGGAAACACGTTACCAGCTGCAGGTACAACATGTGTTGAATAAATGCTATCTTTAGCCAAAAATGTCCTCTCTGTCATCTGTCAACCCTGTCACAAATCCTTCCTTGACAAGGTGGACATATGGTTTGTTATTGACACTTCATTTATTCATTCATTCATTCATTCATTCATTGTTAATTAGTTAATGTTTTAACTAATACTACACACATACTACACCAGTAGATGCAATACATGTGTGGACAATACAAACCTTTTAGCAATATCTGTATCCTTTAAATGTCCATATAATGGAGCTCATTGACTGTTTGAAATAAAAATACAACCCTAAGTATTTCTACATTTGTGTGAACAACATCTGTATCTAATTACCTTATTCTGAAAAAAAAAAAAAAACAGTATCATTAAGGTGTTCAACTTGAGTAGCTTCCTACACTCCCTTCACTCCTCCAATACAATGTACAATGTAAAGATTTACATTCATTAGCAAATATAGTTTAATTTAAAGGACAATAATTGTTTATTTTCCCATTAATTTGCATCAAACCTAATTGATAACAGAAGAGGTGGTGTGGAGGCTCAGTGGTTTGCTGTAGTTAGTGAAAATAGAAGCTGAGCTCCGAAAACTTTACAACTCTTTTATTTTAACCCTTTAATGTTTCTTGTTGTACCTGTTGTTTTTTCAAATGTTCCTCCATATTTAGTTCACTAATTAAAGCCTTTGTCCACCTGGTCATGCCAGTGTTCACCCTATAATCTTGTTTTTAATGAAAATAAACTAATTATTTATACAGTAACCTCAGCAAAGCATCGTGTGTGAGTCCTTAATAAACCAATAAGGGCCAGTTAATATTGTTTAAAAGTTTGACTAAATATTTTAGATTTTGGGTTTTATTTTGAAAAGAACGTGCAGCAATTGCGTATTTTATTGGGAAACAAACGTTTTGTCCATTAATTCATTCATTTAAATAGACTTTTTAAATAATCTAAAAAGTTGGGTTGGTAAAGAGACACATTACCTTTCTGAAAATATACATTTTATAATCACACTGCACCGAAAATATACTACTTCGAATTTTTCCATAGGTTGACACAATTTGAGGTTTGTTTACTGTAATTCTGCTTGCAGTTTATTTATAAAAAGTGCAGGAGCCTGACCAACATTCATTTCTTACAGACTAAGGTCTAACAACTAATGGGGTAAATAAAAAAAAAACTAATATAAAAGTATTATATTATATTTTTTTTATATAAATTTTGAAGTCTCAAAGGCACTGTAAAGTGATAATGACCCAAATATTAATATAAAGAGATTGTATTTTATACTGTGGTGTGATCTTTTAAGTATCTCTTAGAAAAGAACTTTTAAAAAAATAACATTCATTTTGTACAAGCTCTCTTATTTTGTTCAAATTATTCACTTTCGCCAACTTTCAAGCTGCACTGCATATACACACACACACACACACACACACACAGACACACAGACACACACACACACACACACACACACACACACACACACACACACACACACACACACACACACACACACACACAGACACTAATGAAAAAAGATTAAAACAGCAGTACCTCATCCACAGATCGGGAGGCATCAATCCTTTGCACTTTTCCTTGCTTCTCGTACAGCTCTATAATGGGCCGTGTGGACTGCAGGTACGTCTGGATCCTGACAAGGTAACAACAAATTTTGCAAGAATTATTATTATTATTATTAGGAAATCAAAAATGCAACCCACAGATTAGTCTTTCCTCTTAATATAATGTCAATACAGAAATGTGTGACACAAATATCGCTAACAGTTCCTTCAGGATTTCTCTGGAGATTTTTCAGATTTTTGTGTCAGACAGTTTTTCTTGAAATTATCTGCAGCATTTCTTGTGTTGTTTTGCTGTGAAATTATTTACAGCAACAGTTTTGAATCCTTTGAATCCGCCTTTGAATCTTGGAAACCTTTATGAATATTGTGTTTCAAATCAGTGGTTCAGAGCACTATCAAATTGGCAAGGTCACGTGTTTCAGTAAACAGGATTTTGTTACATCATTACCTTTTCAAAACGTTTAGAATAGACAATGTTTCATCACTGTGTATAAAAGCATAATATCCACATGAATCATACAGGTTTACTCACATCGCCCCCCAGTGGTGAATCACTGAACAGATTTCATTGGTTTTAACAGATGTTGTGGCATTTGCAAAATCAAAATGATTGATATCAGTTAATAATCTCTCCACTATGGAATAAACGATATACAAATGTATTGAAAATGTATTTGAAAATGTATTTAAAAATGCATATTACACAGACATTTAATATTAAATAACATGAGATAAGCTGAGTGCATTTTACAGTGCTCAGCATATATGAGTACACATATATATATATACATAAAAATCTATCGTTTAAATAGATATTTTGTATAGAATTTATATATATATATATATATATATATATATATATATATATATATATATATATATATATATATATATATATATATACATCAGTTCTGAAGCAAAATCTTCATTTAAATTTACAATAACGGTCCAAATTTATGTTTGGGAAAAATTATAAAATGAAAAATAAAAATTAGGGGGAAAAATCAAAAGTAACAACAAATATATAACATAAATTTATAAAAAAAAAAAACAGATGTATAAAAAAATTGCAATGTTTCACATGAAATGATTTGTATTATATTTCTATTTCTAAAAATTTCTAAAGAGTTTGATGGCAGAAATATTACTTGAATAAATATATCTGTTTAATAAATCTGTTTTGTTCAAAAACTACCTACATTTGAAGTCAGAATTATTAGCCGAATAATTTAATTTAAAAAATTAAAAACTACTTTTATTCTAGCCGAAATAAAACGAAAAAGTATCAGGCATTCTGTGAAAAAGGTTTTCTTTTCTTTCTTGCTTTGTTAAACATCATTTGGGAAATAGTTAAAAAAGAAAAAACAATTCAACGAGGGGGCTAATATTTCTGACTTCAACTGTATATTAACAGAGAAATGGGTAATAATGTTCATTTTCGAAATTATACTTTTAATTGAAAGTTTACAATACGTTTTCTATTCTAATGCATGAGTTTTTGTTCCATTTACATGGTTTTGACCAGCAGGTGTCTCTGCCATGAGGTGTGTTTTGAACACTTTAAAACCAGCAATTGGTTCAATTATTCTAAAGCTTTGAAAAGCTTCATTTTCCCCATCCCTACCTCAACAAGAACCACTAGGCTCTGTAATTTATTAAAAGGAAACAGTCATCCCTCTTAACCCTATAAAGCCTACTTAAGAGTTACCCCTTAACCCTATGAAGCCTATTGTATACAATTTAATACAAAAAGAACTCTAAATGATCAAAATAAACAAAACTTTGTAGAAATTGTTTTTATACAATGTATTAGAAAATACATCAGTTTAAAAGATTAGTTTTTAACCAAACATGTTTTTTTTTTTTCAATGTGTCAGCGGTGTCGGCCTACTGCAGTGTATTGTGTTTTGCTCACACCAAATTACACTACAGAGCTCTTTAAAACCAGATTATTGGAAAATTAGAGCAATTCTTATTATGCAAGTAGTCTGCTATACTATTGAAAATAGAAATTACGGAGCAGTCGGCTTGGAATTGAAATGTTGCAGGTTCGATTCACTGTCCTGCCAGAAATTGATGCTAGGAAAGGGGGACTGAACCACACTCTTTCCACCTTCGACACCCTTGAGCAAGGCACCTAGAGCCCTTAACAGCTATTGCTTACAGATTATTGGGAGAATTAGAGCAATACATTATATTTACAAAGTACACTTATAACTGTGCTTGTATGTGCTCTCACTTTTCACTTTTGTGGGTCAAAAATAGAGAAAATATTTCCAGTATGGGAAACCATACTCACTTTACTCATAATAGATTTACTTTCCTCCATGATTTGAGGTGGTGGTTCACTAACTAGAAGTGACAGATAGTTGTAGCAACTAGAAGTTTAGCTCTGGATTGTCTACTTCAAGTAAGCTTGCCTGGATGCGAGTTGCAATAACATCGCATGATGCTTCCCGAAGTGAGCCATTTGTAAAAATAGTAAGCTCCTCTGAAAGTTGTTTGATTTTGCTTTAAATTCTGCAATCAGAGAAGCCAATTCTGAAGGGACTGACTATTAGAAAAGTCACTACATACGGTTGTAAGGAGGAAGTACCTTTTCTCTAAACTTTCTCTGTTATCATCAGTGCGACCGCTGCTCTTTCCCCGCTCTAAACATCTGTCAATGCATACCTGAAACACAGATAAAGCTAATTATACATACACATACATATATACAAATGTATAATTGCATATGCGTGTGCATAATACAATGACACACACACATATACATATACATATATATATATATATATATATATATATATATATATATATATATATATATATATATATATATATATATAAATACACACACTTGAAGTCAGAATTATTAGCCCCCTTTTGATTTTTTTTTCTCTTTTAAATATTTCCCAAATGATTTTTAACAGAGCAAGGACATTTTCACAATATGTCTGATAATATTTTTTCTTCTAGAGAAAGTCTTAGTTTTATTTCGGCTACAATGAAGGCAGTTATTAATTTTTTAAAAACCATTTTTGGGACAAAATTACTAGCCCCTTTAAGCAAATTTTTTTTTCGATAATCTACAGAACAAACCATTGTTATACAATAACTTGCCTAATTACCCTAACCTGCCTAGTTCAACTTATTAACCCAGTTAAGCCTTTAAATGTCACTTGAAGCTATATAGAAATGTATTGAAAAATATCTAGTAGATATTATTTACTGTCATCATAGCAAAGATGAAATAAATCAGTTATTAGAAATGAGTTATTAAAACTATTATGATTAGAAATGTGCTAAAACAATCTTCCCTCTGTTAAACAGAAATTGGGGAAAAAAAATAAACAGGGGCCCTATTAATTCAGGGGGGATAATAATTCTGACTTAAATTGTGTGTGTATATATATATATATATATATATATATATATATATATATATATATATATATATATATATATATATATATATATATATATATAAAACCTAAGTTGCTACTGACCTCATTGCTGCAGTCAAAGAAAAGAACAAACTTGACATCTGCCTTCCCATCCATCTCAGTATTCCAGCCCTGCAGGTTGTCTTGGTTACGTGGGAAACCATCGATAAGAAAGCGGAACTTCTTCTCATCAGCTTTCATAGTCTCTTCCATTGCCTGCCAAATACAGAAAACATTTTAAGTAAAGACACATTTAAAAAAGTATTTATTTTTTGGATAAGATAAAACTCAACACAAAAGCGCAGTAAATCAGAATTACAAATTGACCACACAGTAAACAGGCTTTGAACTATCCTCCTTGTATTAAAACTGCTCATGTTTGCTTTTAAAGGGGTAGTTTACCCAGTAATGAAAATACTGCAATAATTTACTCATCCTTCACTCGTTCTGAACCTTTATGAGTTACTTTAGTCTGCTGAACACAAAGGAAGATTTTTTAAAAATGCTAGTAGCTGGCACCCATTGACTTCAATAGTAATGAGTGCTCTCCACCAGCAGAGAGTAAATGATGAGGCAGTGTTGATTTTTGGGTGAACTATCCTTTTAAGTTCATTCTTTTTCAAAAAGCTAAAGGCTAACATGAACTGAAATGGCTTGTAAAACAGAACAAAGGGATGTAACCACCTTCCTCAGTAAGTTGATGGTGATTTGAACAGGAACTATCTTCCCTTCTTTGATGTAGCTGTCAATAAGCTGGCCAAACTCTGAGTCGGTGCGGCTGCGCTCCTCTCTCAGGAGATCTCCAGCGGACAGGTGAGTGTAACTGTAGTTCTGAGACAAAAACAGCAGGAGCTTTAGAGCAGCACAATGCAGTTAATGCAATCCTTTCGATTAGATCATCAGTTTTGTGTGCTGAGACAAAAATTGTCTATATAAACTAGAGAAAAATAAAGTGGTAGGTTGAGCACTTAACGTCAAAATGATTAGCCCTTCTGTGATTTTTTTTTTTCTTTTTCAAAACATTTTTCAAATGATGTTTAACAGCAGCAAGGAATCTTTCACTGTATTTCCTATAGTATTTTTCTTTAAAACATTTTAATGTCAATATTATTAATCCGTTAACACTGAAATTGGGGGAAAAAACATACAGGGGTGCTAAGAATTTAGGAGGGCTAATAATTCTGACTTGAACTGTAGGGGTGTGCGTGTGTGCTAATGGAGTTGGTAGCTGAACAGGCAGCTTTGCAGTCGTCCAGACATTCCACAAGTTTCAATTTTAAACCAAAAATGTTTTTAAGATCATTGTTACAAACCTTTTGAGTTTTGTATAAACTTTGAAATAATCTCCATGAAGTATGGAGAAGATTTTGTTTATTTGTTTCCCTATTTCTCTCTTTACCATGCACTTTGCTCTTTGCATTTGTGTTTCTTTATCTCACGAAGGTGTGCTATGATTGGATCTTTTACACACCTGTTTCAGATAAAAATGACTTCCTGGAGCACTCTGGACCTGCCTGTGAGACTCTTATCGCCATTAAATCGATTTCTGTACCTTTGAATTTGTATTACACTGGTATCCTCAAGCTCATTTTTGGTGCCAACTAGGATTTTGATCCTCTGTGTCATTGCTAAGCCAATTTGTATATTTTTGTAATCTTTCGAAGTAACAAAGAGTCTTGTCTGTGAGGCTAAGAGTTCCTGTATGAGAGAGAGAGACTGTGTGCGTTCATCAGCCTAATCTGAAAAAAGTCAAGATCAACCGGCATTATAGAAACTATTTTGAAATAGTTTCCCATGGAAATCCTTGTACATATAACCTATAGATATCTGTATACAAACTAATATAATCTATCGGTAGCCCCACACGAAATCTGCGCGCGCATAATTCTGCAGATTTTTCGCAAAATTCCGCAGATTTCTGCAGATTTTTTGCCCATCATTAATTCTGTTTATTTACTTGAGTAAATGTGTAAATCTAATTTTTTCAGTTTTTATTCAGTAATTTATTACTTTTTGTTTTTATATATTAAGGTTTTAGTTTTGATACTCTGCTGGATACTTCCAAAATGATTCCATAGAAATCCGCAGATTTTTACTAAAATTCTCTGCAGAAATAGCAAAAAACATCCGCAGATTCCATCTGGCCCTATCTATAGGTTAAAAGTCTGGGGTCATTTTAAAATACATTCTATAATTAATTCCCACAATTTGGAACCCCTATTAAAATTAAAAAGAAAATGGGAGGTGGAGCTAGAGATAGAACTATCAGAAGATATGTGGCAATCCGTTTTAGACAATATCCACTCATCTTCAATTTGTTTAAAACAGAGTTATACAATTTAAAGTAGTACATAGATTACATTGGTCAAAAGTGAAACTAGCCAAATTTAAACCAAATATAGACCCTAACTGTGACCAATGTAACATTGAGCCAGCTACTTTATCTCATATGTTTTGGGCTTGTTCAAAATTAAAGAAATTCTGGCAGCTAATATTTAAGTTCCTCTCGGACGCATTAAACACCTATGTAGAACCTGAGGCCATAATATCAATTTTTGGGATCACACCACAGTCCTTATGTTTTAACAAAAGCAAGATAAATGTGATTGCCTTTGCTACACTTTTAGCTAGAAGATTAATATTGCTGAAATGGAAGGAAAAACTTCCTCCAACCTTTAAGCAATGGCTTACGAACTTCTACACCACCTGACCTTAGAAAAAATACGATACACTCTAGGAGGCCGTACTGATATGTTTTTCTCATCTGGAAACCTGTTTTAGATCACGTAAAAAAGATGGACCCCTCAGTCATTTTAGAAGAGTAGAACCTTGTTTGTTTGTTGTTGTTTTTTTTCAATTTTTTTTTTATTATTTTCTTTTTTTCCCCTTATTTATGAGAGTAACATATGCTTTACTTATTATTACTATTCATTCATTTTTTCTTAATATTATTTATATTTTTTTCTAGAACCTAAATGTATATATGTGCGACAGGTTTTGTTTGTTTGTTGTGTAAAAAAAAAAAAGAAAAATTGAAAAGCTATTTTGTAATGTATGTTTCATATCTAATATGTTCAATAAAAATACTTTTGGGAAAGAAAAAAAAAGTCTGGGGTCATTTTTTTGTTTTTCATGTTTTGTTTTTTTAAAGAAAGTTCATTAAGGCAGCCTTAAATAAATGTTAAAAATACATTACAAATTTAAACATATTGTATGTAGTTTCAAACTAAATTATTACTCCAGTCATTATTGTGATTACCATTAATAATATAAATAATCATTAATATTAGTAATAATTAATATTAGTGTGATTTCTGAAGAATCATGTGACTCTGAAATCTGGAGTAATGAAGATGAAAATTCATCATTAAAATGACTGGAATAAATTATTAAGATAAATTATAAACTACTTTTAAACAGTATAAAAGTTTGAACTTTATTATGAATAAAATTGTGAAAACAAAAACATTTCACAATTTGTAATGTATTTTCGATTAAATAAATGCAGCCTTGGGGAGCAAGATAAGCTTATCTTAAAATTTAAAAAATCCTACTGACCCCACATATATATATATATATATATATATATATATATATATATATATATATATATATATATATATATAAATATATAAATATATATATATATATATAGCTTCGTTTCACACGTAAGCCCTTCTACCCAGTATTGGTGCCAAATCATGGCAGCTGAACACTGCACTGAGGTTCTGTTTATAACCAGGAAATTATGTGACGATGAGTATGGAATCACTTCGGGAAATTCTTACTCAATAAATAAATGCATTCCGAAAGAATGACAAATTCCCAACAAAAATATTTTCATATTAAGCCACGTCATGACATATCATGTCGTACAGTACAACAGTTAAGAAATAAAGATACTGAAACAGGGGTTTGTGTGTTTGAATGTCATAGAGGATACGGAACGAGTATTCTATTTAAAACACCCCGACTTTGAATTTCATCACCCAAAAACGAACATCTTAAGCTTCCATTAACTAATATACAACACTTAAACTGTTGTTCTATTCATATAAAAATGACCAATGCGCTATATCTCTTACCTCCACAATTCTCGCGCATTGTGTTCCTTTCCCCGCGCCAGGCCCGCCCAAAACAAACACAACTTGCGGCTTCATTATCACTCTCAACCTGTGCAAAACGCGTGGAAGCTTTTCCGACAGCCTGTGAAGCAAACCCACAATCATAAACCGTTCTGATAAGCGATAGTTTGACTCAATGAATGACCATCGACCCCTGGGAGTCGGCTAGGGAGCTGGTTGAATGACCGGTTGATGCGTGTCAGGGAAGTGCGCCGGGGCCGATTCCACTTCCGCCGTATACGTACCAGCCAATCAAAGAGGAGAAGAGTCGCGGACGTCAATTAATCGACGCCCATAGCTCTAAACGCTCTCTGGAACGCGCACCCCTCCTCCGCCCTGGGTTCGCGCACCAGCATCAGCACCCGTGTTGCCATCTCCGCTTAATGTTGTCAACATGGCTCTGGTCTGAACATTTTTCAACATTATAGCTGCTATAGCATCATGCTTGATAACTAAATATAATGTGACTAACTAGTATAGGAGTTGCACACAACATTTCCACATTTTGTTCATATCATATCATATGTAATGTTATGAAGTAAATAACTAAATGGACACATATAAGATGCATTGGTCTACACTAGCAACATTCCTTTTGTTTTCGGCTTAGTCCCTTTATTAATCTGGGGTTGCCACAGCGGAATGAACCGCCAATTTATCCAGCATATGTTTTACACAGCGGATGCCCTTCTAGCTGCAACCCATCACTGGGAAACATCCATACACACTCATTCACACACATACACTACGGATAATTTAGCGTACCCAATTCACCTTTACCACATGTCTTTGGACTTGTGGAGGAAACCAAAAACCCAAGCAAACACAGGGAGAACATGCAAACTCCACACAGAAACGCTAACTGACTCGGCCGAGGCTCGAACCAGTGAGATTTTTGCTTTGAGGCGAACATGCTACCCACTGCACCATCTTTTGTACATTTGTATGTAATTATTTACATTAAACAGATAATTAAAAAAAAATAATATATTGTAAATAAACTTTTAAAATTTTGCATATAGTGTACATTTTTCTGATATATTATATAGGCTTTGTATTAAATGATGTAATTTAAAAAGAGATAACTTGATTTAATTATTTTATTAAATAATAATAGAATTATCAATTATAATGATTATAATCATCATGGAGTGTTTCTGACCTTTTTTTTTTTTTTTGGAAAAGGTCGACTATATTATGTTGGAAACAATGTAAATTAACTTTCAAATTGTTGCATGTTGAGAATAAACTTTTTTATTATAATCCTAAGATTAATTAGTGAACCTACAACAAGAAAAGTAATTGTTAATATTTAGTTAGTGTTAAATTGATAATTATTATTATTAGCATGCAATAGTCGTATAGCCTAGTAGAATAGCCTATAGTTGTAATGAATAAACACAATAATAACTGTTTCTAAAATCCCATCCATATAACAATTACATCAAAACTAAAAAGTATGTTTTTAATGCCGTTAATATTGCTCATTATTAGTACAAATTTAGAGCGCCGTGTTTATTTTTTTATGTAAACCAAAGCATGATTTTCTCGCGCGATCTGGCAACACTGATCAGCACCTCTCCGCAACTGAACAGCGACCATATAAGCACATGTCTGCGTTAAGATGCTCTGCTGTTTTTCCTAGGAGGAATACATTTAAAAACCACTGCGCTGTGTATTGTAGCATGCTCTGTAATTAGGGATTATTAAGATCGTCTTCATCGTCATTATCTTTATGTTCTCGAAAGATTTGCACAAGGGTTCTTCGCTACGGATGCAAAGATGGAAACACACAAAGGATAAACACAAAATTAGTCCAGCGATGCCCATGACAGACATTGCGTTTTAATCAGAGCGCAGCTGACCCAGGGTTGCATTATAAATCAAATGCACTGAATCCCTCCTTGATTGGATCGGTCTCTGTGTCGCTTCCCCCTTTCGAAAGGAGCCGCATCAACAAAACGATGGGTAGGTCGTTCACCTGGAGGAAATACAACCAACATACACTCTCTATGCAGCACCGGCTCCCTATTCAGCACTGAGATGCCTGCGCCCAGCAGAAAGACCAGGATCAAAGGGCTCAGAGCTACAGCCGGACGCGTGATTTGGAAGGAGGACAACAAACAGGCGAACCCCGGGTGTCCGATTCGGTGGAGGCCGAATCACATCTGCTGGGGACGAGCATCAAGGGCAGTGCGGCACTCCAGCGCCCCGGGAACAGGCGACACGAATCATCCATACACCTTTAGTTCCACAACACCGCAGCGTTCCTCGTCTGTTTCGAAGATGCGCTAGAACAACACCGACACGCAACAAAACATGTCTTTTCGTAGCAGACGTGCTTTTTTATTGCTTTCACTCAGTGGATTTATCGAGGATATAGCCTACTGAGTTGGAAACGATGGTGAGGAGAATCTGCCAGCGTTTCAGGGGTTACAAAAAGTGCCAATGAATATATTGCTTAAATTTATCCTCATTTTTCCGTCATTGGCTACATTGACACCCCTGATAAGCAGGACCATGGGTTGCATTCAAAGCATCGCCTGCAAGCCCCGCATCCGACGGGAGAACATAGTGGTCTATGAGGTCTCAGCCTCCATTGACCAATGCCCGACCATCATTGAGGAGAATTCGCCCATCGTCCTGCGATACAAGACCCCGTATTTCAGAGCATCGGCGGGGATCGTGATGCCCCCGGTTCCTAGAAACGAAACGTGGACTGTGGGCTGGATCCAGGCGTGCACCCAAATGGAGTTCTTTAACACATATGGTGATATTGGCATGTGAGTAGTCAACAAACCAAAGAACCAATGACATTTTCGCAGTTTAATTAATATGTGAGAACACTAAAGAACTAATCTGACACATAGTAGATTTTCATATTGATCTTGTTTTCTTTGAGGCCATAGGTCGACAGGTTAATTTGACATAACCTGTTTTTAGTATTGTTTATTGCAGGGGCAAGTGAATGTTGTCAAAACTGTAAAATTAGACGGTAAAAATGCAAGCTTAGCTTCAACGTTTTGGGAAAGTCTAAGGATCAGTAATGAAAAATCTTTAACCATAATGCTTCTGTTTGGCCTTGTTAAATAGGTTAAACTGGTCATCATGCAACTTCAACTTTCTGTGTGGTGATGTCAACTCATTTTCAATTTACACCCAGAAAGGTAGCCAAATCCTTTATTCAGATAATGCCCAACATGTTTGCACTGACCACATCTTTGCTTCTCTTTTGTTGTTCCTAGAACAAATTTCAATCCTAGCTCTATGCTGTTTGTAATGTACCATATACAACATACAATTTCTGTCTGTCCCTGATGAAAGATGACGACCAATGCGAAACAAAAGTGCAGTTTCTTTGGTGGTGGCTATCAAACTGTGGTCCAGTGTAGTACTGTGAGAGATGTTGCAAGATGCTCACTGTTTTGTGACCAAGATATCCTGCAGTTTTGCTTTGATGTGTCCGAAATTCAGAATGACCACCACATCACAGTTGGTTTGCTGATACTGTACAAACTATAACTGCTGACCAGTCAATAAAACTGCAGCATGCTGGCATACTGATCAACATAACAAGGCTAATGTTACGCTAACTATATAACCTTTGCAAAATTGGGATTTTTTTTCTAGCAATGACTGATCCATAATTACATTTGAAAACAGAAGTTTACATTCACTCTAGAAAAAAAAAGAACTTATCCATTTTTTAATGTCTGGTGTTAAATCATACTAAATGTTTACTATTATTAGGTATTTTATTATGACCTAAATTATTTACAATTGCTAAATGCCAGAATAATGAGAGAATTTTTTTTGTGAATTTTTTATTTATTTCTGGACAGTCAAAAGTTTACATACATTTCCTTTGTATTTTTTAGCTTTGCTTTTAAACTGTATAACTTTGGTCAAAAGATTTGGGTATCCTTTCACAAGCTTCTCACAACAGTTTGCAGGAATTTTAGCCCATTCCTGCTGACAGAACTGGTATAACCGAATCAAATTTGTTGGCTGTCTTGCTCGCACAAGCTTTTTCAACTCTGCCCACACATTTTCTATAGGATTGAGATCAGGGCTTTGTGATGGCCACTCCAAAACATTCACTCTATTGACCTTAAAGCACATTTTAACTAATTTGGCTGTATGCTTAGGGCCATGGTCTGTTTGGACGACTCATTTGTGGCCAAGTTTTAATTTCCTGACTGATGTCTTGAGATGTTGCTTCAGTATTTCTACATTATGTTCTTTCTTCGTGATGCCATCTATGCTGTGAAGTGGACCAGTCCCTCCACAACATGATGCTGCCGCCCCCATACTTCACAGTTGGGATGGTGTTGCTAGGCTTGTAAGCTTTCCCCTTTGTCCTCCAAATGTAACACTGGTCATTATGGCCAAACAGTTCCATCTTAGTTCCATCAGACCACAGGACATGTCTCCAAAAATTAGTCTTTTTCCCAGAGTAATTTAGCAAATTGTAATCTGGCTTTTTTTGTTGATTCTGGCTTGTTGATTTTTCCATGTTGTCACAAAAAGAAGCAGTGTGTTTGAGGTTTTCCTGAAATACTATTCTACAGTTGTGCCTCCAATTAACTCAAATGTTGTCAATTAGCCAATTAGAAACCTCCAAAACCTTGACACCATCATCTGAGCTTTTTCCCGAGGCATAATAATCTTATTGGATGTAAACTTGACTCTCAAGAAAAGTTACAACAATTTCTCCAAAAATACTTCTTTCATTATTCTGCTATTAAGCATAACAGAAACCAATTTGATAATCCTGACTTATCTAAAAGAGAAAAAGTTTAGTCACAGTAACAACTGACTTTACAAAAAATGGTTATGTGCCTTTTTATACAGTGTATGTAAACTTCTGGTTTCAACTGTACCTCCCTGCCTCATTTTTTCAGAATACTTCTCAAAGAAAACTGGCCCCTCTCAAAATGTGGCCCTATCCGATTGTTAAGTGGTGACGTGTTTGTGATGTATGTATACTGTTTCCAGGTCCAAGCCGCCATTCATTTGAGTGGAGAAATCTTTAGTTTATGATCGCGTTTTATTCCTATCACACATTAAAGTTAATTTTACATAAAGTCATAGTGTACACAACAATCTCTGGGCTTGCTGCATAACAAATACCAAAATTTTAACAATTTATAAAACAATGAATCACTTTCTTGCCATCGGATATTAGGCATGGACATATATATTGCAATCGTGATTTTCGAAAGTATTAAATCGCTTTGTAAATGTTTATTATTACCATTTCATGAATCTCCCCATTCAGTTGAATAGAGCGCTTGGACCCGGAAGCCGCTCTGCGTGACGTCACACTTAACAAGCGGATTTGTTCAACACTAGGACATGCTAATGACATTTTACTCTTTTATGCTAACTTGCAGCCTACAGTTTAGAAGGTGTCATCAACATAGTCAAGTCATAGCCAGGCGTAGTTTGTAGGGATGTAACGGTATTGTAAATACCGTCATACCGCAATATTAATTTTTTTCGATATTACCGAAGTTGCATGACTCGGTGAAACTATAGGTCTTCTGAGAAAATTTGCTCAGGCGAATGAAGCGAACGGGAGGTACCGGAAACTACAATTCCCATCAGCCCAGGCTTGGCCATAATCCCTTGCGGTCTGTTGTCGCTACAGATCCAGTAATGCGGAAATGGAGTGTGCTGCTAGAAGCGGGGATGAAAAAGCGCTGGAAAACCCTAAAGCGGGTGTTGTCGCCGCGCGCGTACTGAATAGCGGTGTTGTCGCGTGAGTTCTTATCAGCTGTGTTGTCGCGCGCGTACTGAATAGCGGTGTTGTCGCGCGCGTTCTGATCAGCTGTGTTGTTGCGCGCGTACTGTAAAGCGGGGACGGAGGGTATGTCGCTTCGCGGGGGCACTTTTGATCATTTTGGAAGGGAACTTTCTATCCAAGACTAAAAAGGGCATGTGCACTGCACAGGTTGAGCCCTGTGTGTGCACGTGCCTGCAAGTTGGGGAATACGACTAATAATCAGTCATGGGGACTGCAGAAACACAGCACACTGTCCAGATTGATGCAGACATGAGATCTCTATCTCACTCATGGTTTGTCCTCTCAAGTGGGGGAAAGACAATGCACAACGTTACCCACTGCTGTCAACCTGGGCCAAGTCATATCTCTCTGTCCCAGAAACCTCAGTCCCAAATGAGAGGGTTTTTTTCTGTTGCAGGGGACATTGTAAATACCCAGAGATACCAGCTTTTACCAGATTATATTTATATGATAATTTTCCTTTAAACCCATCTCTATCTAAGTGAGTGAGTGATTAAATGTTGAATGTGATGAGTTTTCAACAATACTAAATTGAAACTTAATTTTTTTACATGGTTTAATATTTTTTTGTTATTAAAATGGAAGTTTCTGTGTCAAAGCTTACAGATAGATGGCTAATTTGTATGTCATTGACACTTTTGGCACTTTTTTGGAGTATTTTCATAAGTTTTGTTTTTTCTTGAAAATGATTCAATAAATACCGTACCGTGACATTAATACCGAGGTATTACCGTACCGTGAAATTCTGATACCGTTACATCCCTAGTAGTTTGTATTGGACTTTACATGACCGTCAACAGTCCTCCACAAAATTGATGTTGTTCAAATCTAAAATCCAGGATCAACTAAGTATAATTAAAACAAGTAGGAAGGGTAACTAGATAAATATAAAACAGGTTCATCCATATTCCATTCCCAGCCCTCTGTCTTTTAATCACAGTTTTTTCCATATTTGCATGAGGCTCTTTGTTCTGAGGAGGTCTTCTCATTGACCATCACCGCGTCTGTTCATTTACCTTGATCATCCGTTTGATGTATCAAGGCCCCGCGGCTCTTTGCTCTCATGCCTCTTTCGTCCTTCCTGATTGCTCAACTTGTTTACCTTCTTGCAGGTCCAGCTGGGAGTTGCCCGAGCTTCGGGAAGGACGGGTGAAGGCCATAAGTGATTCCGACGGTGTCAGTTATCCCTGGTACGGCAATACTACCGAAACAGTGACCCTCTCAGGCCCCACTTCCAAACCGTCTCGGCTAACCGTGAGCATGAACGACAACTTTTACCCCAGCGTGACTTGGGCAGTGCCCATCAGCAACAGCAACACCCCCATGCTCACACACATCACCCGAGACCAGAGCTTCATCACCTGGCTGGTGGCGCTAAACGCAGACACCAAAGAGCGTATTGTTCTTCAGACAGTACGGTGGCGTATGCGGGTAGACATTGAGGTGGATCCATCCATGCCACTTGGTTCTCGTGCCAAACTGATGGGACGACCGCACCAGGAACAGCCTCACATTCTCAGCAACAATGAGCCTATCCCACCTAATGCACTGGGCAGGCCTAATGCCAATGATGCCCAAGTGCTGATGTGGAGACCCAGAAGAGGACAACCTCTGGTGGTTATACCGCCCAAATAGGACTGTCATGACAGTGCCTACAGGACACTGGAGACTGCATGCACTGTTTAGATGCTGGAATTTGGTATATCGCAAGCTGCTTTGTGGATCGCTGGATTTGTTGAGTTTCTCACGACGTTTTGACTGCCTTTAAACTTTTCAACAGGTACTAAATGTGCAGCCAGATGGAACAAACCCCTTAAGTTTAAGAACTAGTTCACCTAAAAAATGAATATTACTAACCCTCTTGTAACTGTTATGAAGAACGCAAAAGAAGATATTCTGAGGAATGTTTTAGTAATACAATGAAACTCAGTGAAGTCCCAAAATGTAAACCTTTAAAAAAAAAAAAAGGGGAAGCATGATATTATAAATAGATCAGAATGAAATCCTTTATTTATTCTAAAATCAAATGATTTATCGATGCACATGTACGTAAGCTGCATCCCCATTCAGAGGCAGCAGCCGAAAGCAGATTTCATTACAACAGAGCGACAAAGATTGTCCCGATTTAAAGGGTGCTTCAAAGGCTTTCCCAATTCGAAGCCTGCTTCAAATCCTCCAAACGTGTCCTTTATTTTAAGGGCTTTAAAGGATACAACCGATAGACTATCCCAAGGCTCACCGTGCATCAGAGAAAATGCCAGATTGCACTTTTAAATGTATCACATTTTAGCTTGGATATGCAACAGTACAAAATGTTCAAAAGCTTAGATTTAGATCTGAATCTTATTTATATGAACATGCCTTATATGAACACATTTATGAAGAATGTAAACACTGATTTGCTTTTCACAAGTTTAAACTGATTTTTCACCCAAAAATGAAAATTCGGTCACCCTTTTTTGTGTTTGTTTGTTTGTTGAACGTCTAAACCTGTAACCACTGGCTTCCATAACAGGAAAAACAATTAGCATGGAAGTGAATGGTTACATGTTTCTAACATTCTTTTATATATATATATATATATATATATATATTCCTTTTGTGATCAACAGAACAAAAAGTAAAGGATGAGTAAATGATGACAGAATATTCATGTATGGGTGAATTATACCTTTAATATCTGTTCAACTGCACATCATAAAAAGTCCAGCAGAACTGTTTCTCCCGCTCATCAGTGTTAACTGTCAAAGCTGCTACACTGTAAAACCCAATAAGTTAAGGCAAATCAAACCGTTTGAGGAAACTGATTGCAACAAACCTTTTAAGTTCAAAACTAATCCTAATGAGTACTGTGAACTTAATCCACTTGAGTAAACAAAGCAATTTGAGCACAGTAAAATCCAATAAATGAAGAGAACTCAAACCAACTGAGTACTGTAAAACTCAATAACTTAGGCAAGGCAAGGCAAGGCAAGGCAAGTTTATTTATATAGCACATTTCATACACAGTGGCAATTCAAAGTGCTTTACATAAACAGCAATAAAAAAGACATATTTAGGACAAAATGCAGACAATAAAAATGATTAAAAACAGATAAAAACAATTCAAAATGTGTTAAAATAGGTTATAAAAGAATGAAAAAGAAAACGAAAAACATAATAGTGCAATCTGTCGGATGTAGCCCAGTGCTCATACAGTAAAGGCACAGCTAAACAGATGTGTTTTCAGTCTTGATTTGAACATGCCTAATGTTGGTGCACATCTGATCAACTTAAGGCAACTTAAACTGTTTCAGGAAACCGATTCTATATGAAATCTATTTGAGTACTGTGAACTTATTCTATTTAAGTTGAAGTAATGAGGTTTTTTATTAACTCATTACCTTCAACACTGAGTTCAAAACTCTTTTCAAATGAGTAGAATTAACTTCCAGTCTATTTTGAGTTAACTACACTCATTTCATTTGATAAAGTTTACTGTTGGGTTTTACAGTGTAGGCAAAGAGTCCTGCTTTACAATGCTGTAGTTAGACTTCAAAGATGCAGCCTCTGAAATAGAATGCTATTATAGACTAAACGAAACATTACACTTACCTTATTGGCTCTTCTGAAAAAACCTAAAAACTTTCGTAAAGTGGACAAAAACATCTGCAAACCGTCACTAAAATATCTTCTTTTGTGTTCCACAGAGAAAAGTCAAACAGATGTTGCCTGAGGTTGAGCAAAACTTAAAGGGACAGTAATCCCAAAAATGAGTATTCTGTCAGCTTTTACTCACCCTTTAGTGGTTTCAAACCCTTTTAAGTTTCTTCTATTTAAAACAAAAGTAGATGTTTTGATAAATGTTGTAACCATTGATGTCCATAGTCTTTTTTTCCTACTACACTGTCAAAAGTGTTGACAGAAAGACAACAAGTATTTGTCTGTAGCTTTAACTTATGTAAATATGTTTCAACTAGATCTTTAAAGTCATACAAAGTTTAACTTGAAGGTGCTGTATGTAAGTTTTTGACTTTTGTAAAGCATAAAAATACCATAATATGTTTGCAGATATTTAAGAAACATTTTTGTTTATCTGAAAAACAATGCTCAAGTCAGATATTCTACTTTGAAAATGTGTTTTCCGTTGTCTTTGTTTTTGAAATATAATTGGTTAAACTGGCATTGGGCAGGTTAAAATGACCCTGCCTAATGGTGGTTTAGCCAATTATATTTCAGCACCGCGTGGAAAAACTCGTATTTCATTCATTCATTCAGAAAGACTGAAAGCATGCGTCCGTTACCGAAATGAGACGTCCGGTAGAAAGTAGCAGACTCCGAAATGAGGTTATTATTTAGCAAATGATATAAATATTATTAAAGTTAACAATAAGTGAGCAGGTTACATTGTCACAGCGTGTCCTAACAACACGCTTCATGAAGAGATACTCAGTGATAAGCAATTTGGCACCATTAGTTTGCACCAAACGAAACACAACAGAAATTTAAATACAGCCATTTAGAAGCAAAGAATATACACTCACTCACGAAATGGTAAGCTTTATAATCTATTTAATACATATCAACCATCTTTAACATTATTAAATGTATGCTAAATTACTCATGTGTTTAGTTCTAAAGTTTAATTTCATATGAGGTGAACTATCTGCTGCTGCTTTCAGTATATGGCAATAAATGTCATGTAAAATGACATTCAAACCCACATCGTTAGCATTTAGCACTGAATAGAGCACTGAGGTTTACCTGAGGTGATGATTGTCATAGTTTTTGTTGTTCACCCAGGGGCGGAAAGTGACTAAAAATCAGCCCTGGCACTGTATTCACACTAGCCCACATTACCACACCGACACAGCCCCATCCACTACTTATATTGGTGTTCTGATGGTGAAATAATAGAAGCAGTACCATATGTAATAGATATTTAAACATTTATTGTATGTGACTGGAACAAAAACAACACATCTATAACAAATTTATACATGCAATCATTTCATTCATCCATTTTCTTTTCGGCTTAGTCCCTTTATCAATCTGGGATTGCCACAGCGGATTGAACCGCCAACTATTCCAGCATACGTTTTATGCAGCAGATACCAAGTTCACCTATAGCACATGTTTGGATTTGTGAGGGAAACCGGGAGGAAACCCACGCGAACATGCAAACTCCACACAGAAACACCAGGTGACCCAGTCAAGGCTCGAACCATCGAACTTCTTGCTGTGAGGCGACAGTGCTACCCACTGTGCTGCCCCCTTTCGAGACTATTTCAGTTAATTTTATGCATTTGGCAGCATCTGATTTTAGAGCAAATTTCTTTTAAAATTTTTCGCCTTTCCTTTTTTATGGTCCATCTCTGACAATTAGCTTGTGTTGCACTTACTGTTTGTTTGACATTCTTGCCAGATTTTGATTACTTCCATGTAACCTCTGATTGGGTCGGTCCCTCTCGAAACCAGCCATCCATTGCCAACTGGGCCAATGCAGAACATTTATCATTGTTATTATTATTATTATGGTAATATTCACATCTTGCAAAAGATAAAAGCAGCCTGCATGTAAAAACTATATATATATATATATATATATATATATATATATATATATATATATATATATATATATATATATATATATAATTAAAAATAGCAAACAGGCCCACATTTAAAAAATGCCAGAATTGCCAGATGGCCAGTCCGCCCCTGTGTTAACCTGTGAGAAATATAAGCAGTTTGTACTATATCAATTCGAGGTGTTGGTTAGGACAAAAAGTCCTTTATTAATATGGAAAATATCCCTTCTATTGGGTGCCGTTGCTTTTATTTAGAACACGGTTTAAATGACTCGCTCCTGTCCTCAATCTGGCAACCTTTGCTTGCATTTGTTTTGATCCAGGAGTGCAATAACTAGTTAAACCACTGGGTGTCAAACTTACATACTGCACCTCTAATATTTTCAGTCAGTTTGATTAACGCAAGTTGAGATGACTAAAAGTTGATTTGATTAGGCAATAAGATTTATTTTTTAGTGTATGGAAGTTTTCATCTTTCATCAGAATATCTTATTTTGCGGTCAACAGAAAAAAAAAGAAACTCAAAAAGGTTCAGAACCGCTTAAGGGCAAGTAAATAATGAGTAAAATGTCATTTTTGGGGTGAACCACCTCCAGAAGCCTGTTTCCATATGGTATTAACATGCATTTTCAGTGGTCATTTGACACACATTACTATTTCTATCTGGCATTTAAATGCATCTGGTGAAACCACTTGTGCTTGGATTTTGTAGCCACTCTTCCCTCTTATTTTGTCACAATTTGAACATCGACATCTGTTTGAATAGTGCTTTTTATATCTGTACGCTATTGACAATGCATCTGTTTTGTTTTTCTCCGAGATTTTGATAATGTGAGCGCACTTCCAGATTAAGTATACCCTGGGGGAAAATATCAGCTCTAAATCCTTTACAATTTTTACAGTTTTAGAAAGGATGTTTGAAGAAAAAAAAAATGAATGTTTGCTTCTATACAACACAAAGGGAATCAAGAGAGCTATTGCAGGAAATATACTGCTTTTGTAGGACAACCAGCAAATCTCTTATGACTATATTTCAAGACAAAAAAAAGACTATAGGCTGCATGAAAACATCCACTAGTTGACGTGGAGTGTATTTAATAGCATAAAGGATGCAGTCGTCCAATCAGAAATACCCTGGCACTGGAGATAAGAGTTTGTTTATGGTTGCGAGTCCGTTTGGGTTACACAGAGGGTGCTGCTCCATAGGCATTCACCAGATTAGTCACATGCCATACACGCTCCATCTGTGCCATTCCATGTCCCCTGTCTCCCTCTCTCTTTACTCAAGCTGTCTGGCTCCGTCCTGTCCCACTGAGACTCCTTGGGTAATTATGACACAGATGAAATTGAGTTTCCATTACCAATGTCATGTTTATACTTGAAGGTATGGAAAGTAAACCCAAAAATGAAAGGGATCGTTCAACCAAAAATGAATATGATGACAGATATTGCTCACTCTTAAAGGGGTAGTTCACCCAAAAATTTTAATTCTGCCATCATTTGAATCAGTTTCATCAGGTTGATTTTTTTGTTTCTTTTTTTTTCTGTTGAACAAATAAGAAGATATTTTGAAGAATGTTGGATTCAAGTTTTGGGGAATTTTCCCTGTAAGCAGGGTGTACATTTTTTCAGTTTAACACCTAATGTGGAATTTTATTAAATGTTAGTAAAAGGTAGCTTTTGAATTTTTGTATGACTTACCGAAAATATTCTTTCATTTTAATCTATCATTTTTGTTGCTGCTCTACAGCAGTGTTTCCCAACCCTGTTCCTCAAGACACACCAACAGTACACATGTTCAGCCTCTCCCTATTCAAACACACCTGAGTCAAATCAACAGAACATTAGAAGAGACTCGGAAACTTGGGCTGTTTCTCAATTCTAATGC